TATATGTCACGTGTATTATTGCTACACAAACATTATATTGCAGTTTTAGTGTCGCCAACTCCGTTTCTAATATGCAAAAAGACTGCAAAAATGCGTCTATGATTATTTTTAGTATTTTCGATCTCTCTCCCCCGCCTGCTTGTGAGGGGGCGGGGCAGTTTACACACACGCAGCTGCTACATGCAGCAACACACACACACACGCACACGCACGCACACACACACACACGCACACACACACACACACACACACACACACACGGAGGAGACGGCGGAGAGAACGCGCTCCGAGGTGTGGTTAAACTTTACCCGTCTCGATGTGGACAATGCTCGTTGCCTAAAGTGCAATAAGAGTTTAGCATGTAAGGGCGGTAACACGAGCAATTTGTCTAAACATTTAGCAAAAGTGCACCACATCCAGACGGAGAAATGCACCGTTTTTGACTGTCTTTCTAGTAGCTCTGGAGCCCCGTCCACGAGTAACGTTTCCACGTCAGGTGTTATGTATGCTAGCAGCAACACAAGGAGTTAACTACATTATACAAACATGGGTTAATGATTAGAGGTAACTGAGTTATTTATTTTGTTAGTTTTAATCACAATTTGTTTAGTTAGATTACCTTATTTTTTTCTCCAAAAGAACCGATAAAAGTACCGTTAAAAGACCGGACCGATAAGCGGTATCGATAAAAGTAGTAGTACCGTTAAAACCTTAACGATACCCATCCCTACTCCTTATTGAGCGGTGCAGAAATGAGACCTAAAAACCTGGATATGAGTTGACATTTTACCACTCCGTGTTCGATCGCCAAAGTCAGTATTAGTAAATACCTCACCAGTGAAAGTTTTTAGCTTCTGGTGGTTGCTAACAAGTGACTGAATAAGAATACTAAATCTCTTCCCGCCAGAAATTAGCCACCTTTAGCTTAGCGGTTGTGACGTGCAGCATTGGTACCGTGATTTAGATCTTTACTGTAGATTTTTACTTCTTGCAATTCCACTTACGCTTTACAGTAGTTCACGTTAAAATGTGGAGTTTACCCTGCTGAAGAGTAACATAATTTAGTGTTTGCCACTTATCTTGTCTCCTGCAATAATCCAACATGTATGTAAGGAAAACATCATCACTGCACCACTCTATACACATCAGTATGTTAAGAAGCTGGATAGCAGAACATGTAGGGTCTCCACCATGCAGCTGTGAGCCTCTGGTTGTAAATCACACCTCTCAGTGGTGCGGTTGGGGGTGGTAATAGTGGTGGTTGCGTTGACAGTGAAAATGAGTGGGTGGGGGTCCAAAACAGCCATGTTCCCCCTCACTGTGTCGAGACCCCGTCTGTCACTTTGTTTTGACAGAGCTGAACCGCTCCCAAGACGCCTTCTCCACACTTAAAGCCCAAAACTCTGACCCGTTTCTGCACGACATGTCTGCGTTTGGCCCCGTGCAAAATCTCCATCTGTCCCTCTCCGATTTGTGGAGGCGCTTCATGCTCTCTGAGCAACGTGGGAAAACACACGCAGATTGTTGAACGGCTGTTTTTCTAAAGAGTTTCTTTCAGTTATACGGTGACACATTACAACACATGCTTTAACATGTGTTCTTCAACATGTGTTGCTCTAACGGTTTCTCTTTATTTGTATTTTTCAGGGCAAATATCGCGGAGGTGGAGACGGAGGTTGTGGAGATCGAGGCAAAACTAGATAAGGTAAGAAATGTTGTATTACACCCTCATTTATTTGATACTGTCCAACTCAGCACATGCTTACTAGTTACTAATGCTTAACCAATTGCATTACAGGATACAAAAGGATTGGTACACTTTTCTCTCTTGGGGTTAAACTTCTCTCCAATCATTGATATTATAGCTCATGTTTTCAGCATCTCTCCAAGGCCACATGTTGCATACTAACTAAAGTAAAAAGAGGCAGCTGACATTAAACTGAATTCCTATCTGTTTTTAGTATACCATCTCTTAAAAGCCAAATCAGAGCATCATAAAACCAGTTTGTTTCCTTTGGCTTTCTCTTGATTTCTGTGCCTTTTTTGTTTTTTTGTGTTTTTCTTCTAATAAAGATCAAGTCAAATAGGGTAACATATACAGAAGTCAGTGTTTCCCCTAGGATGGAGTCATAGCAGCGGTGCTGAGGCACGTGGGCCCACTTTGAGCACAGAATTACTAGAAACCTGATCTAGGGGGTACAACTATAAAAAAAAAACCTAGGCGACCGCCTGTGTCGGCTATGCCAGTAACACAAATACTACAAATCCACATAACAAACAATCAAAAATGAAAAATGGTCGCCACTTATTATTATTTTAAGAAAATCTGGCTGGCGCCCCCTAGCAGCGGCGCTCATATTTCAGCAGCGGCGCTGCGCCGCCACTATTTGTATATAGGGGAAACACTGGAAGTCATCCAGGTCAACATTTAAAGTCAGTACAACAACTTTGCCATTTATAATACGCTTATGTTGAAAACGTAAATTGAAATCATGCCATCTGCTTTTCTTTTGTATGTTGCATGGTTTTAGCATTTAAATGCATCTTAAAATGTATAGAGCCTGCAGATGGAAAAGTATTGATTGGAAACATGGCCCCTGTCATCTCCATGTATTAGCGTTGTATATTTGATGTCTTGGAGATAATTTCACGTTATCCTTTGGTTCTCGTAAACAGACTTTGACATTATACCAATATTGGACTCTCTTGATCTTCAGAGGGTATTTCACACACTTATCCCAGGCCTATAATGTATATATATTGGGATAAAAAAAAAAATACCTAAAGAAGGAGGAACGTTGTTATGATTTTTTCCATATTATGTCACAGCTTCTTCTTGCAACAGACATTGGAAACAGCTTGCCCATCACCTCAAGCTGTTCACTCCCAGCATGATACTCACTAGCTAATGCCAAAGTGCTAACATTGCTAGCTTCTAGTGACCGAAAAAGGACTGCAGAATGTCGCTAGTTCAACTGAGGTTCACTTCACGTAAGACTAATCGAGAGTTCCTTATTAAAGGGGACCTATCATGCAAAATGTCGTTTTTTATGTCTTTTATACATAAATATGTGTCCCCGGTGTGTCAGGGAACTCACGCAGCGTCAGAAAATAAAACCCTCTCTCTTTTCCTCCGTACCCAAATCTCTAAAAACGGGGGAACAACGGAGCTGATCCAGATTTGCGTCCGATATAACGTAATATCGGCGGCGGACCCACAGCGCTATCAGAAACGTTGCTATCAGAAACAATGCCTGACTGTTTTGGACGTAATATGGTCGGTGTTGACATTAGCATCGCTAACACTCAGAGCTAACCTGTACTGGAGAGCATGTGTGTGAAGAAGCAGGAAATAAAAAGGAACTCACCTTGTGGTATAACCGGCAAGAGAGAAAGCCTTTGAGCTCCATACTGTTTCAGAAATAATCCTTCATCTAATAATCCTTGATCTAATAATCCTTGCGTTTCATCACTGCAGCATTTTAGACAAGATCTGCCAGGTCCCACATGAGCCGGCATAAGCTCCGCCCCCTCTTATTTTTTTCAGTTTAAAAAAAGCCTTTATTTATACAGGTGAACATCTCATTGAGACACAGGG